TATATCGAATGCTTTAAAGCATTTTATTTATTTTTTTAAGACTGAATCTAAACAAAACTTTAACTTTTGAATAAATTTAGCCTTTTCCTTTTTACCGCCACTTTCTTCGATGCTCCAATACTTGTTGCGTGTTCTTTCCATTAACTCATTTACCGTAAGTCTTCTACTTTCTGCTGCTTTGTCAATTTTATTTTTTCAGGAAATTCTATCCTTACTAACTCACGATGTTTATAAATTTCGAATCCACCTTCGTCAAACATTTGTTGAAATTGTTTCCAAGCTTCAGCCGTCAGCAATTTCCTGGGACCATATATTTGCTCGTGGAGAATATGCTTGCAAGGAAGCATATATTTGCAAAAAAAAAGACAATGACATTCAGGTGACAACAAACCAGGCAATCCTTTACCTTTCTCTATCCTATCGTTAAGAGCAAGAACTTCGTTGATTATTAATTTTTGAATGAGAAAAGGAAACTTATGAATTTCTTTAAGAACATCATTGTCAACACCGATGACAGAAATTTTTTTAACACGAAACTCGAACGCGACATAATCAGAATCTGAATATTTTTTTAGGTCAAGTGCAACAATCTTATTGCATGCACCGATCAGCCCATATTGAGGTGAGGTTGTTCTTTTTAACTCGCTATGATACGACTCTAGAGCATTTGTCGATGTTATTTGTAAAAGTAGTGGAGAGTGCTGGCAGGCCCATAGGGCCCACTGGTGAGTATTTTCCAAATAATATCTTGAGATGTATTTTTTGATGGAAGAAAGGGTACATTCATTAATTGCTTTTTGAACAAACATATCACAACCAATTTTTGTTCGCTTATGCATGGCTTGAATCATTTTGGATCGAGTTTCTGATTCGTATATTTTATTCATCCATGTCTGCATAACGTGTACGGTGCAAAAAATAATGTCACATTCTTGTTCACCTTTGCTAAGGCCCGGGAAGATTGTCATAATACTTTTTGCCTCTATACTGCTTTGATCCGCCAAAAAATAACGAGGTTTCCAGGTGCTACAAAATCGTCTAACAATAACTAATGCTGCTGCAACATTAACACTATTTTCGTTGCTAATGAAAAAATATCTACTGATGTCCCAGCAGCCATACCCATCCCGAACATACAGCGTAAATAAATGCCAGTCATATTTATTGGTCTTATGGGTTGAATCTATAAGCATTAGCCATCCATACCGCTGAAGCTTTTCAAGTTGTTTTGGATACGCAAAAACAAAACCGGAGGTGGATTAGCGAGAAGTTTTATACGATTCGACTTGATAACCTTCCTTTTTTAAAAAAGAAATTGCGTCTTGGATATCTGGTGCTAGCTTAGAAGTGCCAATAAGATAAGTGTTTTGTGGTCCACGGACTTTGTATTTTATATTGGTGACCTCCCTCCACTTTAATTCCTTTACACTCGTGCCAAGATCCAGCTTCTCAGATGCATACTCTTTAACTGCATTTACTATTGCAGGTGTAGAATAATTTTTCACTGCCTCCTTTTCTACTAAAACTCTAACAGCCTAGGAGCGTTTAAGCTTGTCACTTTCATTCAAATTATGTGCATGGTCTGAGGAACCCAAAAACCGTTCAACACGCACCTTTTGCTCGACAACAAACCATGATACCTTTATTTTTGCATGGCATAAGTCTGCTTCTCGGACCTTGGTTTTTCATCGTTTCTCACTTAGAATGCCTTCTTTATGTGTACTTGATTCAAAGTGTTTGGCAAAGTGACATACGAAGGTTTTCCAAGAATTCCCATTCAAAAGAGTTTTATAACTAAATTTCACCCAAATGTTCGTAACTAAAGGCCACCATTTATCATCAAATTCTGTTATCGGGACTTCGAATAGTTGTTGGACATTATAAAGTAATATATGTTTTTGATCACATGTAAGACCCACTATCGAGTCCATTACTATTGTGTTTGTAGGGGACCTTTGCTGCGACAAGTCCACTGATTCAAAAATTTGTTGTGGGAATACCGGCTTATTCTTTGGAGGTGTTTTCTTTGCCGGAAATACTCATTATCGTTATCTGTTATTATTTTGAAAGAAGTTCTTGCTACGGTTATGATTTTTTTTTTTTTTGATTTTTTTTTAATTTTTTTTTTTAATTTTTTTTTGTAAAAGTTTATGCGCGGGAAATTATTGTAAGTCTTGAAAAGTGTTTATGCACTACGGTCAATATTTAAAAAAATCTCTTTAATGTTTGTAGGCTTTCTTTTGCAGAAAGTCTTCTCTGACAAAGTACTGTCAAGAAGTATTAAGTTTTTTTCCTGGTGGGAGGAAGCGGTTTATGTTTTGCCAATTTACCTTATATAGCGCATTAGTGAGATTATCAATCTTGAATTTGATTGGCCGTCATCGATAATATGATAGCTCTGGTCTCTGGACGGTCAGGCCGTCGATCACGTGATCGAACCTGGCTTTAACGGTTCCCCAAATATAGTAAGAAATAAATGAATGAATTTGTTAAAAAAATTTTAAGACGTACTACACTAAGTTCGCATTAATATATAACCTAAATTTTGGTGAAATTTATACAACCTTTTATTAATGTACTTTCAAAACATGGTAATCTTCCGTTCTAAGAAAAAAATAGTATTGCATCTTAATAACGTATAGCATAAGAAGTTTGCGAATAAAATATTTTTGAACTTCATATATAAAATTAAGAGTTTAGGGTTAAGTTAGTTAGAAAATCAATAATAATAAATCACGTTTTCCGATAACCGTTTTCTCGACAGTTGGCCGATTTAGAATTATGGCGGTTTGCAAAAATGATGTGACCCTGTGATTTCGTGACGAAGATAGCGGAAAATTTCTGATTTTAATTCCCTATTGGTCATAATTTTCGATTAATAACGTTTATATTTTATTCGGAACATTTAAAATTCTCTAAGAATCAAAAAATCTACTAGAATCGGCTGATTTCTCGTCATTATGATCTGCAGAGCTATAAATAATGACCGTCTTATCGTTTATGGAAGATTTCAGAATATGTAATCCCCACCCTATTAGTTCACAAAATAAATCATACCAATGGTTTATACCAGGTATTACTGGTATTGTTCCGCTTATACCATTAGCTCATGCTGCAAATGTGGTCGGAAGGAATATGATCATTAATTATGGTATAGAATATTGCAATATTATTATTATATTATTCACATTTACCGTAGCGCACTGAGTAAAAGACCCGAGTATATTATTCAGCGGCTGGTCTGTGTCGCAAAGAAAAAATTTTTCAAGTACAGTACATACATATTCCGCATTTATAATAAACAGTCTAGAAATTTAAAAAAAAACCACATTTAATTAATAGAGATATTGTGGTTTGCGCCAGGGTATTTTGCATGGGGGTACTCAAGAAGGGGGGTCTTCGCTCGGTGCTCTACGGTACATATATTTTGAGATAATCAATCACAGCATTACAAGAGTATGTAAAATACTAGTACGTATATTCTTGATATTTGGCGACGATTCTGAATATAAATGGGTCATCATTCAATCATAACCCATCATTAAACCCTAACTCCAAATTCCATTCAAAATATATATATAGTGCTGATATACTGATTGGGACTATTATTGAAACATTCCTAGACAGTATATCTTGCTTATAATTTTGCATTGATGATTTATCAGTGGTATAAAAGAAAACATCCACGTGCATTTAAATTTTATTAAACTGATTCAATGATATTTTTATACCAGTCACTATCGCTATATGGAAACCCCACATTATATTGTCTTGTTTTATTTTAAAATAATAGCAGTGATTAGTTTAGCTCAAATTCCCAGTCTTTAAAATTTAACAATAAAAATATCATGATATCATAATAATAAAAAATAAAAATTGTTCTATTAATGATAGTGCGAATAATTTTAATATACAAGAGAAATTTTTTATTTTGAATTACAATTCTTGATGTTTGCTAAAACAAAAAATAATTAGAAATAGAAAACACAAATAAATAATATATTTAACTTTATAATTTACCTAAAATATCTTTAGAACCTGGTGATTTAAATGGATTAGTTTGTATATTTTGAATCTCAGTATTTCTCATAATAATATCTCTCATAGTAGCGTTTTTAATTAGTTCAATTTCATCACTTGTATATTTTGATCCTTCATACCAAAATCTATCAGCACTTCTTTTTCGAAGAAATTCTTCTTTTATAATTGCGGTAATTGTTGGTGGTAAAGGAGTAGTTTTACCTTTACTCTCGGCAAACATTCCAATTATTGCATCTATTTTATTGACTTTACCATAGATCTGTTGTAATTTTTTTGCTATTGTTATGTTGTTAGTAATTACATTAAAGCAGTCTACAGAATCTTGCTCGCTTGATCTATTACAACTTTGATTATTGTAAACGCTTCCCGCAGGATGATATACAACGCGGAATGTGTCATAATCAGGAAGACCGAGTAAACGACCTTTTAGTTTGAAATAAGTTAAAACACTATTGATATGCACTACGTATTGATATATGGAACAAGATCGAACATACCTCTAAAAATATCTAAAGCTGCCATGTCATTTACGCCAGGCATGTTTCGCAGTGTACTTGAAAATATTAAATCAAATTCCGCAGCTGTTCCTCTCAACATGCTAACGATTATATTATCGACACCATTTCCACTTGATCCTGAAGCTAAAGATAACATTCTACAATCAAATTAAACAATTAAATTATTATGTATAAAATTTTAAATCGGTTTAAATGGTTTAATTACAGTACCTAACAGGAGTATAATCAAGTAATCCATCAGTAAAATTTAAACCTAGATATGGTGTTGGAACCCTGACAGATTTCCCCATAAAATAAAGCCGATGTAAATTAGAATCAGGGAATTTAAAATTAGGATGAGGATCAAAGGGTTCACCAGTACATCCGTCAATAAGATCATATGGTCGAACATTTGAGTGTCCATATCTGAATGCAGCACCAGCAAAATGAATTGAAGTATCAGCATATTGTGTTTTGTTATAACCTGAATACGATGGCATTTTAAAACCAAGCACAGCAGGTAAATATTCTTCAAAGACTATATGTTGATATTCTCCAATTGTTATTTTTCTGGCATATTGAAAAATTTCTTCATCTTTTAAATCAGGTTTTTCTTTTGCTCTTTTTTCTGCCCAATAATTATGTTCACGAATCCAAATTGTATGAATAATACATAATTGAATGTTCTCTGAACAACGCAAGTCACCACTAACAAGTGCATCATCAGCGTTAATTTCTGGAGGTGTAAGATTAGGATAAAGATCTACTCTACCGGAGCTTGGTGCAACATTTTTTATAGTTAAGTCACCTAGTGCAGTGTTATAAGCACCACCATTTCCTGTAAAATTTTCAGTAACTAATTTGCCATCTTTAAGAGTTCGAAGCTTTAGTGCAGTAATATTATTTTTTCCATATATTGTTGTCAGGTCAAGGTATGAATTAGCAAAATTGACAGGGTACAAAGTGGAATTTATTATACGACCCCATGAGAGTGATGATATCATATCTGAAAGAAATTCATTGTTAGCACTAGTTAATACGCATAAATGAATTATTTATTAATCTTACATGGTGTTTGAGAAGGGTTGAATAAACTTCTTGATGCATTACTAAAGATTTTATCATTAACAACGTCACCTATCACAATTCTTGGAATGGTTTGAAGAGCAGCATCTTCAAGATCATGATTAACGAATTGACCAAAAAACTGAAAAAAATTTTTTTTTTTTAAGATAATCAACATTTGACGCCACGTGAACAGATATCTTATTTTCAATACTTACAACTTCGAACATTGACTTTCGCGTCGAGGACAAAATATCGTCAGTTAAAGGACTTCCGGAGAATACTGGCTCCTGACCACTATCAGATAACATATTTGAAATCATTCTAGCATCTATTTTTATTGCAGGTTCACCAGTATAATTATCTTTGTAAATCGCAGAAAAATATCCTCGATCATAAACTCTATTTAGAGTTCCCCAATTTGAATGTTCGAGATTATTACAAGTTCCATCATAAGTTCGAATATCCAAATCTGTTCCATTACATTTCCGCTTTTCTGGCACATCTGGTAATATACTTGGAAGGTCTGGGTCAGCTTCACTTCCATACGATTGCTGTGCATGAACAATCAATGGTTGGTTTGTGCAGATAAATAGACATATCAATGAAACAAAAAAGTGCTTATCAATTAAAAGCATGATACAATATTATTACGTTGTGCAGTTATGTTAAAAAACTTTACGATGAGAAGACAAAAATTTTCATAAAATTAGGATTACCTTTTATTTTATTTTTTTTATTACACGTAAAATTGACTTATTTGTTATCGCAGAGATGCTAATTCGACCAAACATGTTATTCTCTAGACAATTTTGGATATATCAGATCGATAATAATTATTTAATGTATTTCCAAAAAGTCATAGATTTGGCTGTTGACAACCAAATTAGAAAAGTTTGAACTGAATTGCTCTTGCCGTATTTATTTCACGTGCAGAGGTTTAAAATATAAGGAGTATTTATAGACATAAGGAGTATTTATAAAAATGACTAACTATTAATAATCAAATCTATAACTATAATATATAAAAAAAATATAAAAAAAAATATAAAAAATGAAAAAAAGAAATAAATAAATAAAAAATAATATATATAATAATATATATATAGTATATATATAGAGATTAGTAAAATTAACAAATTAGCAGTCGGGCTGTGTGAATTACAAATATGTATAGATATATTATCGTTGTATACAGACATGAAAAACCTGGAAATTTGTTTGAGATTTTCGGGTTTTGGCGATGCCTTAAATAATCAGTTATATAAGAAACATTTATATTGATTTTAAGATAACGATAACTAAAAGTTTTAACTTTAATAATTGCCAAGTATCTTACGATACGTACTACAAACAAATTGATCTATATTTATAGTTACATATACGTATCGGTATACCATTCAAACTTACGAGTTTGGGATTAGGATACCATTTATATTTGTGTCGTTGTTTTAAAAAAACCGGGCTTATTTCAGATCATGCTTAACGAATATCGTTTCATACTTAGAATGATGTAACGCTCATTAAAATCATACGTATGATCTGAAATAAATTTAGGTTGTGAAATTTTACTCGGTTGTGTCAAAAGGTCATGTTGTGGCTAATGATTGCTGATCCATACATTATTAGATTTTTAAATTTAACTTTGATAAAATTTTAGACTAAACTGTTTTAGTTTGGACTAGAAGATGCCGAGAATGCTCATGATAAAAGGGCAAACTAACCTACGTGATAGGTTACATTTTTGACGCTTAGTATTAAGTTAGAACGTAAAAACTATCAAAATATAAACCGATAAAACTTAGGTAAAAATGTGAAAGCTGTGAATATTATCAATAAACAAAACTATATATATTATTTTTGATTAGCATAAGCATTTAGCATTTATTGTATAGTTTTTTTAAAGCTAATTACAGAATTATATCGTTCTTAATCCTTAACAATATTCGATGTTTCAAAGTCCGAATTTCTACGACCTTTGCTTGATGTCGTTTAGATTGTGGTTTAAACTTTTCATAATACGATTCTGTGTTATTAAAATTAAAAAGAAAAGTAAGGTCTGCTATGTCTTCGAGATTATATAAAAAGGGATAGGTGTATTCTGATTCATAATAGAAGACTCTTCATCGTCGAATATGTTATTTGTGTTAAATATATTAACTTCCGAAGATAAATAACCGGAATAGTTTGTCATATCCATATTTTTGCTCGAGGCCGACCACCAGAATAGAATTTTTTATTAATCGAAGAAACTGAACAGTCGCTAGTCATTGAATTATCAACACTATTTGAAATATTGAAATAATAAAAGAATTATTAAACTATATAACAGCGGTAGTTCAATTATTTTAGTTAATCCCAGAATTAATGAAAAATATCTTGTTCCGTATGTGAACGTATCGAATATTATTGTTACAAATATATTTAACTATAGTTATAACTAGTTTTATCGTTTTTATTTTATCAGTTTTATATATTAAGATCAGTTCTATCAGTTTTATCATGTGATAAAACCCAAGACATAGTAATAGTGTTGATAAAACGTTATCTCGGCATCACTGGTTTGGACCAATAAGTAAAAAAAAGTTTGTAAACTATATCTGCATAATGTCATTCAACATAAAATTAGCATATTGTTACGAGTTAAAGTGAGATTTTCAAAACCGGGCATAGTTGATCATAAAAGAAATAGTGGTTTCGAAAAACATTAAGAATATTTCAAATGACCTCAAAAGACTGGTCATTGGAAATGACTCGTGACAAAATGGCCATGGTTCATTTCCAAATGACCATGGTCGTTTAGTTATTAGGTCACTTCGCATATAGAATTGACGCCCTACTATAGGTACAGAAACTTGAAAGTGCCGTAACAGACGTACGTATGTTGTAATAACATTTGCTAAGATTTTGGACATAACTCTGAAATTTAGTTGTGACGCAGGAATATAATAGACGCAATGTTGATTTAGGTCTAAAAATGTTTATTTAAATGAATCATTTACTTTAATCCTGAAGATCGGATCCGCCTTACTTCACCGACAATCATTTCACAGACAGCTCACTTAGCCGATATACGCCAAGTGGCAATTTGCTAAAAATATACCTGCAACTAATTAAACGCTAATTAAACGCTAATCATAACCTTATGTGATGTCGGCTAAGTGAACTTTCGGTGAGATGATTGTGAAGTGAGCACCGTTACAAAATACAGTTAAGTCTAAACAAATCGAGCATAGCCAATCAATCTCGTTTATTAAAAACTTTTCTTAAAATTTCTAAAATTCAAAAGAAAAAGAGGTTCAAAGGTATGAACAAAACACGGTTTTTAAGATATTAAATTAAAAAAATACGACCATTTTCGTTAAATGAAGATAAGAAATATTAACCGAGTTCGCCTTTAACTTATGAGAAAAGCAAATAATAATTTAATATCGATATTTTGATGCTTTAAATTAAAATTCTTAGATCCAAATGAATCGGGTGATTTGGGCTCTAATATTATTCAGATAACCTTTTAGCTTAAATTGTAAAGACTTGCACATATTTGTTAGTAGAAAAAATTTTAAATATTAATGAAAGACAAGAACGGAGATATTGGGTCAGGACGTGGCAGTATAGAAGAGTGCAAATTACAACTGATTCTTTAAAAATATCCTGAACTATATCGAAGCAAATCACGAATTTATCCTAGGTTGGAATCATCTCACGGACCTGGGGGTTTGCGAAATCATGTGACGTTTTATTCGTACCCGTAAATATATTTTTCTTGAGACGCAATAAAAAATTAAAAAATACCATTTAATTCTTGTCTATCTCTTGCACTTATTAATAAACTCTATTAATTATTTGGCTCTTATAGCAATAAATATAACAATTTGTGAATAAAATTTGTTAATTAAGTAAAATATTAATATTCATTTAATATTCATTGATGTTATAACCTTAAGATAAAAATTTTGATAATATAACGATTAAAGATATTATTTCCAACAATTAAAGCAAAAAATGATTTTTAAAATGCGAAAGATACGTACTATCTATAAAATCATTTTCATTCTTATTATTCCAAATTTTAAAAATAGGCCAGATTCTTCTTTGTGACTCCTAATATTATAAGATTGAGAGAAATGTGGATTCTTATTATAAAAAAAAAAAATGCAAATCCATTAAATCCGTTGGAAGGGTATGAGGGAGTCTCTAGCGCTTGATTTATTGATTGATTTATTGATTGATTTGATATAAAACCTTTCAAATAAGAAGCCGATTCTTCCTCATTTTTAAAATCCTTCATTATAGAAAAGATGCGGACTTATTTTTGACTTCTGTTCATCTTTTTCCGAGGCCCGCAAAACATTAGCTGAATAAATTTAATTAAACAATTAAAACACAAGTTTATGAACCTGAAATATGCTCTTCTTCATCCATAATGTCTAATGAAATTCTCGAGAAATATATTCCCAAAAATATTTAATTGCCACAATCATTACTTATTTTGATTGCAAGTATTGTAAAATCAATGTAGTATTGATCAATGACTTGAATATATTGCCTGTCATTATTTTTTTTAATTATTTTAATGAGCGAAATCTTAAATCTAATATCCTTTTTTACATTAATTATTTTGATGGGCAAAATCTTAGATCTAATATCTTTTTTATGTTAGAAATAAGTTCTACTAATTCTTTAGCATTCGGTCTTCATAATGGATCAACATTCCAACATTTTTTTATTAGTTCAACTTAATATTTGTTGGACGAAGACCATTAAGAATATCTATAATAATGTCCACGGTCGTAAAATGGTTTACAACCACTCGTTATTTCCAAATAATCATTCTTATACTATATATATTTGAGGAAGCAGTAAAGTTTCTTTATCTTAATACCTCTAGTGCAATATATGGAGTGATACCATACACTTCTTCGCTATCAGAAGATGATTTGTCAGCCGGCTTGCTTATTCAAAAATCTCCAATAATTAAAAGATCATTATACTCATATCATAAGTATTTCTAATTAGTATATTACCGTTGTGAAAATCTCGATGAATAATGTTACTGTCATAAGCCCATCTGCAATACTTTCCGACATACTTAATCTACGAGGCTATATAAAGTATTAATGTTTTTTAATAAATAATGATATAAACCTTCTTTTTCTATAAATCCATAATTAACATAAAATTTTTCGCTTTTGGACCTTGAGTGATACCATGAAATTTATTGCGTAAATTTCTAACTAAACAAGATTGATTTTATTGTATAAAAATGGTTATATCAAAAGTTGTGTACCTATTTTTTCTTATGATACAAACTTCGTTCAAAAAGTCCTCCTTAATATTCTCAGTATTATTAAGACTTTAAGAACAACGTTACAATTCTGACGATTTCGTTCATATGTAAATTTCTTTCAGTTCCATTATGAAATCTTACCGCCTTTCCATTGCTTTATATCTTTTGCTAAAACCTCTTTCAGCAATATATTTTAATGCTGATAAACTGTTCAAATAGAACATATTCTAACACTTAGTAATTATGTTTTGATTCATATGATAATTTTTTGATGAAATTATCTACCACCCTGTGGTGTTAAATTACAAGTCACGTAACATGGAGAGTTCTCATTTTTATGACGCCATATACAGTATAGCCGCATTCATGAATCAGAGAATATTTATACTCGTATTGAGAGTAATTTTTTTCTGGACTTGATATGTCTAACGTGTAAGATTTCATGTCTGAAATTAATAAATTCTATTTTATTATTATCACTTTAAATAATCCAATTCATGCATCCAGAACACTTCTACAGAATTCATTAAGAGAAAAACAATATGTTGTAGCACACTACTTACGAAAAAAAATATAGAGCAAAACTTAATTATAATTTTTATTTTTGACCATTCCATGCCTGTTCAAACTATATTATTATGCATTTATAATCAGAATTCTTTACAAAAAAAAAAATTAGTATTAAATCATTCTCAAAATATTTAAAACCATTAGTTTTGAATATCTGATGTTTCTATCTTAGATATATAAAAAAACCTTCTATTTTAATATATTATTCCATCAGAGAACGGACCGTATTCATATAGAATCTATACTCTAGAAGGTCTCAGCTCATCCTTTACTGGTCTCAAGCTCTGGTCATTTACGTCAGAAATATATAGAGATAAATACAATTTTTCAGATGGTGCAGAACAGGCTACAATGGTGTTCTTTGTTTATCTTTATTTATATAACGATTAAACTTAAGTTCTATAGCGACAAACCCATATTTTACTATGCTTAAAATATAATCAATCATTATACACATATTTATATAGATTTGTAGAATTCTTTTCTTATGGTAATGTTGAGTCAGTGTGTATTCAAAGTTAATTACCGGTACTGTATAGTAGTTTTGATAACTGCATAATTACCAGTAGATAATTTCGATGTTAAATATAATCCCGAATATAGGGATAAATACAATTTTTCATATACACAAAACAGGCTTCCTTGAATTTCATAGCGATAGCATATTTTAAATACTTGAAAGCGCGGATAAATTTTATATACAAGAGAAATTTTATACTCTGACTCTTCTGAATCACAATTCTTGATGTTTGCTAAAATAAAAAATAAAAAAACAGTTAGAAACAAAACACACAAATAAGTAATAAATATTTAACTTTATAACTTACCTAAACTATCTTTATAACTTTGTGATTTAAATGGATTAGTTTTTACATTCTGAATGTCAGTATTTCTCATAATAATATCTCTCATAGCATTTTTAATTACTTCAATTTCATCACTTGTATATTTTGATCCTTCATTAGCATTTCTTTTTCGAAGAATTCTTCCTTTATCATTGCGCTAATTGTTGGTGGTAGAGAGTCCCCCAAGGCGGCCATCACTTTTGCAGTGGCGCAGCCAACCAAAATAATACTAATGAAACCACAGTCGCCCTATTAAGTAAAAATATTCCCGGACCAATTTTGCTGTGAAAGAGGCCAAAATTTTCTTTTTTGAATTCAAAAAGCTCAAAAAAAATTCAAAAAAATAATCGGCCAAATTATAAATTTGAAGGTCATTAGCCTAAATTAAGTTAATGCAGCCTGTAAAATTGATGGCCGTCCTGGGGGACTCGGTGGTAGAGGAGTAATTTGCCACAAACTTTTGTTATTTGTTACTGAATTTCATTATGCGAATCCACTAGGCGACCACGAATTTTACGGGCCAGGTGATGATCGGTAACAAATTTAGCCAATGGGAAATTATGAGTGCAACGTAACAAGATCAGGAAAGTTCAAACCGTTAGTTTTGACAAAAACCACATCTATACCATGAGTTTACATAAGAAACCGCCCTCTATGCTCTATTGAAAATTTTCTTGACTAATTTTACTACATATGCTCTTTCCAAACCCTAAATATAACACTAACCCTAATTTTAACAAATTTAGAAATATCAAGTTATCCTCAAAATTCATGGTGTTAGGCGAAACCTAAAAATGGAAATTATAAAAATGCATTTGATTATTAATTAGTTACTAGCTCCGCGCGTGTCACTACGTGCCACATTTTAATTTAATTAATACGAAGTATACTTATAAAAAGTTATTGTGCAAACTCTTATGATTATAAATTTTTTTCTTCTTGTTATTTTTTGTATGTTATTACGTAAACACAACAATCTTAAAACTCAGTTAACCAATAATTACTTGTAAATCATCATCATAATTGCGCAATAACATCAATATTGGATCATGCGATGATAAATGTCATAAAATTTGTTCTGCCAGAACAAATGGTTGGCTGAAATGTGCCG